ACTACGAAAATATCTCCCCAATCCTCTTGATATGATTTATCCCTCAGACCTTCCACCATTTTTGCGGACTCGTTCTAAATTCTCAATGTCAGCTCAAGTTTATTGTTGAAAAAGGTAAAGTGACACTAAACTCCGGAGTTAAATCTCAAAAATCCATTCAAGCCCCTGAACTATGAACAACAATGAAGGGAATTTATCAAAACTGGAGAAGCTGTGCATGGCGACCAATCAGCTTATGTCTCTCATTTTCAAATCTTAACTGAACAAACTGAAGAGAAGCTGATTGGTTGCCATGCACAGCTGCTCCAGATTCTGCCTGCTCCAGTTCTGATAAATTCCCCCAAATGTCTCTTTTTTGTGTATGACTCGGCTGTAGATCCTCCAATCATCTCTGAATTGGTGCTGACACTGTCCTTCCTTCTGGAGGGGGGCTAAGTCTGTTCCCCATGGTCCCTCTGTGTGTTGTAAAGTAGTCACCGCTCCAAGCTCACTCCCGGGATGGACTACAATCTCAATACAAATTAGTAAACTAAACATGAGATTGTAGTCCATCCCGGGAGTGAGCTTGGAGCGGTGACTACTTTACAACCCACAGAGGGACCATGGGGAACAGACGTAGCCCCCCGCCAGAAGGAAGGACAGTGTCAGCACCAATTCAGAGATGATTGGAGGATCTACAGCCGAGTGATACACAAATAAGATACATTGTTGTTCAGAGTTCAGGGGACTTGAATTTATTTTTACGTTGTAACTCCTGAGTTCGTCACTTGAAATGTTTACAGGTAAGGATGTGAAATATCAATCTGTATTTTGACATGCTGATGATCAATATATAAAGAGTGAGATGCTGACAGTCAGCTCTTTACATTTAAAAAAGTGTTTTTTCTAAATTATACAATAATTATTTTTAGGTACAGCAGCAGCATAAGGTAGCTACAAAAGGATGATGTCCGTATCTCTTCAAAACTGATACAGGTAATGTAAACACTTTAGTTTTTATTGCTTAGCAACTGATAAGAAACCACTGCAAAGTCCAGAAAGACACCAACGTTGGAGCTTATTGGTCTTTCAGAGCGCCGGAGGATGTAAAGCTACTCAACTTTTGAGAAATTAAGTCGGCCAGAGGATCGAACCTCCACAATCTCAGCAATATCCCCGTACAAAGAGTTCTAAGGCATCAAGAGTACTTGTCTTTGAAGGACATGAGTAGAAGGAACCAGACTGTGGTCACTGAATTCCTTCTTCTTGGTTTCGGGAATCTCGATGGGCTGAGAGTCATCTTGTTTGTACTGTGTTTGTTGGTCTATGTGATGACTTTGCTAGGGAACATAACAATAATCATGCTCGTATCCACCAGCCAACTCTTACACTCACCGATGTACTTCTTTCTTTGCCACCTGTCCTTTTCGGATATGATGCTCACCACGGACATCGTGCCAAACCTGCTGCACATCATCTTGGAGGGAGGGCGCACAATGCCGTTTCTTGAATGCATCGTCCAGTTCCAACTCTTCGGAGCTTCCACCGGGACCGAATGCCTACTGCTCACGGTCATGTCTTACGACCGATACCTAGCTATCTGTAACCCATTGTCTTATGTGACCGTGATGGGCACAAGGTTGAAACGCCACCTGGTCGCTTGGTCCTGGGTTCTAAGTTTCGTTATCACTTTAACCGTAGCAATCTTAATGTCCAACTTGCATTTCTGTGGGCCAAACATCATCGACCATTTCTTCTGCGACTATGTACCCATCCTCCGTCTCTCCTGCTCGGACACTCGCTTGTTGCAGGTTGTGGACCTTGTCCTAACGGCGCCGGTGACTCTTTTACCATTCATCTTGATTATAATCAGTTACATCTGTATTTCCATTGAGATTGTGAAGATTCCCACTGGAAATGGAAGGCAGAAGGCGTTCTCAACCTGCAGTTCCCACCTGACAGTTGTCTGTATATTTTACTTATCTCTCATCGCTATTTATCTAATTCCATCTTCCGGGAACTCAGTCACTGCACTTAAAATAATTTCCTTAATGTACACGGTCATCACGCCATTTTTAAATCCCTTAATATACTCATTACGGAACCAGGAGATAAAAGCAACCTTCATGAGACTGGTTCTTCTTCAGGTATAAGATATAAACTGGCTCTTGGTTGGTGAAACTAACACTCCTGCCTGTTACAGATTGGTGGAAAGTCATAAAGTTGTTCTCATTCTCCCATTCAGGAAGCCTGGCGCACGTTTGGAGGGACCGTCCCTCTTTTGGAACCAGTCCCCTCTATATCTCCTTCATCCTCAGTTGTCCCTCTTTTTGGTCCAATGTATAGACCTCCATAGAAAAATGTAATTCAATTACCAAAAAGTGTTAAACTACAATAAACGTTTCATCTAACCTCCAAATTATTGCAGTTGTTATTTTAAGGACGTATAGAGGTTAAAAAAAACACGGTTCAATCAGCGTTCTTTATGGTCTGTGTTATGGTGGTGGGGTAGTGGTTGGGTTCCTTTGCCTATATACAGGCAGTTCTCGAGTTCCATACATGTGACTTACATGCAAATCCTACTTACAAACGAAGGTCATTACTGTACAGCAGGGGTAGTTGTAATGCTACTGCGCTCGTGCTGACGAGGAGTGACCGCCTTTCTGGGTCTGGTTCGTAGTACTGTACGTACATTTACAGGAAGCTGGTTCTTGTTAGACGTGCAGACGAGGGGTGCCCGCCTCTTCTTCCGGGTCACTGTGAGGTTTTTACTGCTGTCTGTATCCTCATTATAAAGATTTTATCTCACTTCCTGTCCTTGAGACAACAGGAAGTGAAAGGAAATCCACTCCTATGAAGGGAAATTCACTCCTGTAAGAGTGATCATGGGAAAAAGGTGTCTCCACTGAAGCTTTATCACCAATCCTTGTTTCCACGACAGCCAAAAAATGTCAAAATCCAATTGTTACAGGGACAGAAAGGAGGTGAAATCTTCTGAACAGGGGCACGCACAACAAAACAAACTTAAAAGGGAGTAAACCCTTCCCTATGCTATCCGAAACAAAACCAAAACATGTGGGGCTGGAGTTACACTTAAAAAAATGTACCTGTTTCAACTTGCATACAAATTCAACTTAAGAACAAACCTACAGTCCCTATCTTGTTCGTAACCCGGGGACTGCCTGTACTTTGTGTTATAATGTGTCGCTTTCTTGCATCTCATAAGGTTGGGAAGTATGGATCCTGACTCAGCTTCAACTTCGGAGCCAGATGCGCACTATAATTTCCCCCATGCATTTCCTGTGTTCAAGTCTACATATCATTGCAATACACTGAGAGGCCAGATTATTATGACCACCCCCTCAGTACTTCGTTGGGCCGCCTCGTGACTCCACGAGATGATGAAAGGTGATGCGAGGAATCTGACACTGCACTGTTGCCCTTCTGTTGTCTTGTACCAGTCTTGCCACTCTCCGTTCTGCCCCAACATTGACTAGTCGCTGACGGCCACAATTCGCACGTTCAGACCCAGATTTTCGGCTGACAGTCCGGTCTTTAAACACTTTAACAACAGCTGCTCTTGAACATGTAACGAATTCTGCTGTTTTGCTGATACTCGCTCCATGGCTCCGAGCGTCAACAATCATCCTGCGTTCAAAGGCTGTTAAATCGCGTTGTTTCCCCGTATCTTCAGAAACAAATCACTTCTACTGTCGTGGTAAACAACCCGCCTCCCTATTTATAATGGTCTGGCCCTCTAGCAACTTCAGCGCCAAATTATAGCTAATTTGCCTACAAACGTCAGGTGGTCATAATAATCCGGCCACTCGGTGTATATAATAATCCGGCCACTCAGTGTATTTTCTTCTTTTATTTCTCCAGGCTTCTGCTAATGTCATATTATAGACGTATGAAAAGAGATAACCCCACCAAAATACAGAGCCAGGGAATGTGCAATAACATGAGTGCACAAATCCTTCCATCGTATCCCCCGTCACAAGTTCAATATGGCAGATCTTGAATGCGCAATATGAGCCCCTTGATATACATCAGTGTGGTGCAGCACGTGTGCCAGCGCCATGTACCATTGGCCTTACAGAGGCTGAGCAGCCAAAGTAAGTATCACATATACACGGCTTGGCCAACAACAAAAAAAGTCATCACCAAGCAAATAGGTCAGAATCTCCCATTGGATAACAGGTCCAGGTTCAGCAATGTTGTGTGCTCAACAAATGAGGTCAGCTGCCCACCTGAATATACTGAATGACCAGGTTTTTCCATCAATGGATCTCTTCTTTACATATTCCAAGATGACAATGCCAGGATTCGTCGGGCTCAGATTGTGAAAAAGTTCATGGAGCATGAGACATCATTGTCACACATGGATTGACCACCACAGAGTCCAGACCTTAAACCCCATTGAGAATCTTTTGGATGTGCTCCGACTCTCCCATCATCACTACAAGATCTTGGTGAAAAATGAATGCCGCTCTGGACGGAAATAAACGTTGTGACATTGTATAAGCTTCTCGAAACGGTGCCACGGTGAATGTGTGCAGTAATCGAAGCTAAAGGCGGTCCAACGAAATATCAGAGTGTGTGGCTTTTCTTTGGCCCGGCGGTGTACATACATGGCCTTCTATTCCTCCTGCACATTTTGGTTGACAGGAAAACACTATGACTAAAACGCACCTGAGAACATTCTCTCTCAGCCCAAGAGGCTTCCATGAACCTTATAGAATTCGCGTTTACCTAATTTGGTGGCGCATGATTCATGTACTTGTACGCCGAGATAATCGCTTCCTGGATCCATCCCGCTAGTGAAGATGTAGAGACCTCGAGTCCTTTATTTGGACCACTAAACAATGGTAGAAGGCGGCCAGATCATCGAAAACCCTTCAGCAAACTCTATAAATACCTCAAGAGACATCTTCTAACATCAACAACACTGAACTGCTCTTCCTT